AGGTTGTTTGAACATCACTGGTGATTTCATAGCACTTCCATCACCCTGAAAAGAAATCTCACGCCTGGTGGCAGTCACTCCCTGTCGTCCCCTTCCTCAGTCCCTGAGAACACTAAACCTGCTTTTTATGTCTTTGGATTTGCTAGTATGTAACATGCTCAAGGTTCTTCCATTTCAGAGCACGTACGTGTAATACTCCATTGTACGCCTATAATGCTACATATTCATATGTGTCCTAGGCTTTGTATATTACAAGTATTCAACAAATATTTCATTCTGATGAATTAACAATTGAGGAGATTTATGGAACGCTATTAAAATACATAGAAGATAAATATCATTGTGCTAAGAACAAATAGATGAAGATGCAACATCAAGCAAGATTTTAAAATGGAAAATTTGTAATTCTGAACCTACCTTAGCATTGTTCTAGGAAAAAGGCCATTCACAATTTGAGTAAACTTGTACCCACCTGACAGAATTCCTAAACAAACATTGTATAATTTCAAATAAAATTCTATATAATAAAACGAGTAGAGCTAAATTAATTTCTGGCCTTTGCTCTGGTTTATTTCAGTCCTTACAATTATATCAGTTTCAGATTTCATCAAAACTCCAGGCTGACATACTATTCATAATGTGTTTTTTTTTTCAAAAAGAGGCTTGGAAATAATTCTTAACTGCTATTACTAAATTGTACATAGTTCAAGGAAGTCATGAAGAAGATACCAGTTGACAAACCATATGAGACTCTGTGTTAGAAGGGCCATTAGCAGAGACTACAGTTGCAACGGGGTCCAGGAATGACAACCCAGATGGAGCTGTTGACATTGCTGGCACTGAAGTCCTACATGGTTTCTTTCCCCTGTAGAATTTCGCATCATATGAAAATGGTATTCTGACATTTACCTTAGGAGGTAAGAGGAGTTATGTTACTAAAGTGTGCAGCAATGTAAGATTTTTCCATCCAAGAACAATAGAAGAAAACTTATATGTCAAATATGTGAGTGAAATATTTCCATCATTTTGGCTGGTGAGCCATTTTCTTTCTTTCCTTGAAATTTCTCTCTTTAGCAATTACTGAAATTCATGCACTTAACATGATTATATTTAAGAGTAAAAACGCATGCTGAATAACATTAGTGGCACCCCTTACTGACGTTTTCCCATTTTCCAGGCATTCTGGTAAGTGCACAAAAGTGTCAAGTACAATGGCTAGGTTTGGGCATCATGGGCCAGAGGCCTAACCGCAATTCTTACCTAGCCTGTCTTCTGCCAAAGATCAAGTTCCCTCCACCATAGCACACTGCCTTTATTTAGAAACTACTCATCTGTATGTCTCTTAGACCCCAGTAGGAAAGTACAACTTACTTTGTTGCATTTTGTCCAATAAACAGAAATTACAATGCTTGTTTTTACATTACAGTGCTATCTCTGTTAACATAGATGTAACATTTTCACTCCCGACAGTTACCAGTTAATTATAACCCAAACAACACCCTATCCATCTGCATATAATTTCCTTTATTGAAAGTTGCTGTACCAGATATTTAGCAAAGGCCTACAGACCTTTCAAATTACAAGTTACATGAATTTTTTCTGTGAATGCTTATTTATTAAGATATTATCTACTTGTGTTCTAAAAGAACTTTTCTCAATTTAAAAAATATTGTGCTTAGATTTTATTTTCAACTTTTAGTCCTCAAGAATGAACATTCAATAAACTCAGGATTTTTGGAAAATCTAACACTATCACCTACTAATCACTCTCATCGAACAAAATGAGAAATACTATGATCCAAACTTCTATTTCTCCTGACTTTATTGTTTCCACAGATTTTGTAATGACATAAAATTAAATATTGGCTACACAGTGACTATCACGGATGAGCAGCTTGGATGCTACAATTCATGTTTTGATTAATATCGACCTAGATGGAGAGAAAAGAGGGAGAGAGACAAACAATTTTAGACAAAGGGGACCTTTGCTACCCATGTGAGTTATTTAAATGGTTCGTCTCAACGCTGCGTGATTTCTTTGTCTTTGCAGAATCCACATCAACTAAGAACGTTGTGTTTTTTTTAAAATTTTCACAGTGGCACGAATAACTTTTCCACAATTTCCTCAATTGAAATTATAGCACCTACTTTGCTTAAGAGAGTTTTTCAGGTACTAAAGTTCTCCAGAGGAAGGATAAGACATAGTACCTGACTTCCAAGGGCTGAAATGTAGCCAGAGTCTGAATGATTATCAGAATCAATTAGTGATGAAGTGTCTAAGTTCAGAAGAGGGCACAACTCCAATTCCATCCCAACAAAAACCATCCTAGAGTATGATTTTTTCTTATAAGTAAATGTCAACAGAAGTTTTGTTACTTCTGTTTTGGCTCCAGTTACTTGAGAATACCTCCTCTCAAAATTACTCCAGAATGTTGGGCAATTGCAGATTTACTTTATTAGAGACCCAAGAGATGATATGAAAGGCTAGTAAAACGCAAAATGCCTGACTTATCTAAATATCATCCTCATACTCTGAATATGCTGAGACCCAGGAAGAAAGCCAGAGGAAGGATGAGCCCCAGGACCAAAAATAACAAAAAACAAAAAACAAACAAACAAACAAAAAACTACTGTCAAAACCCGGTGCCACAAAGCAGAAATCCCTGTGCATTTCTCACAGGTGAGCCTCTGTGAGCAGGCCATGAGTTTAGAGCAGTGCTTTACTGTCAGTCGACAAGCTTGGGCATATGGTTTTTCAGCACACTGTAAATTAGAAGCAGCAAATTAAAAGGGGAGAAGTCGCTAGCATAAGCATCCTAGGAACACCAGAATGTGATGGACTGCAAGTCAAGAAAAAGAATAACTACCAAAAAGTGGGCAAAAGAACTCAGTTGAACAGTAGAGTACTTGACTGTAGGATCACAGGAATAAATGTCACAATAAAGAAACATCCTGTTGATCACTGTGACCAAATCTATCACCTTTTCATTCATGAAAGGTGAGGACAAAGTAATGTGAATAAAATTACAAGACCAACAGTTATTAACCAGTGATTTCATTAATAGAGATTACCCAGAATTTTGTGGAAAAAAATGTCATCAATCCTTTCAGGCACTCCAATGTATGTAATTAAATAAAATGGAGTGAAGGGTTCAAAGCGAATATTGTGTGATATACATATTCCTTTTTCTCCTTTTTATTATCCTTTAATATGTTGTTTTACATCTCTGCTAATTCTCCTAAACTTCATTTTGCAACTTCCTTCAGAGAGAATCCCTCTTCTATTTGATATATGATTCACAAATAATTCATGGGTACATTTGGCTTTTAGAACCACATTATATGTTCGATTTCACGCATACATTTTGCCTGTTAGAGCCCTCCACTTCCTTCTCTGCTTCTTCTTTTTTCTGATTAAAAAAGTCTTTCTTCACAATTAGCATTCATCCTTGATAATTCATATTCAAAGATCAACTTAGCTTTTATTTTTTAGCATTCTTCAAACATTTGCTATTTGCCAGGTGATAGGAGTGAGGGGTCAATAAATGTCTTTCAATTTCCCTCAGAGATATCTCTCATTTATATTTCATATTAATCCTCTTAGATATGTTGTATTATGATCCTAATCTTACAGATGAGGAAAGTGACGCTTAAACAAGCTAAATAATTTTTCAAAGTCCTTTTAACGTGCGGTGGAGCTGAAGTCAGGACCCAAGTAAATCCCAGCTCTATCTCTTCATAATTGCTACATTGCTTTCATAGATATTTTCTCCTTAAGTTTCATTTAGTCAGTGTGGAAAATCCATAGAAAAATACATGTATATATACAAACTTTATCAGTATGACTTAAGTATTAAACTGATCCAGCTATAACACCAATTTCACCAGGTATATATTTAGTATCTCCTTTAAGGATTTAATACTAATGGACAACTCATTAATTACCTCCTGTCATTAGCTATAAATTTGTTTTCAATTGATCTGACTCTAGAATAAAGGAAAATCCATATGTTTTACTAAGATAGAGAGGTAAAACACATTAACAAAGGCTGGTAAAAGCACGGGAAAAACAGAAATAAAAAGCTAATCGGCTCTGCAAAAGAGAGGGGAGTTTGTGTTTGCCTGTATGAGAAAGTGGGATTGGTGTGGCCCCAGAAGAAGGACCACCATACTGAGAGAGGCCAATTTGCTGTGTGAAATAAGGGAGCCAGGGCACTGTCCTCTGTGATACATGCTCCTAAGGGTCAAAATATATTTTTAGTGTGCTATCTGCCATGTGACATATATATTGCTTGATCCTTTAGATGGCCAGAATACATTTTGCTACTGTAATAAACTCGAGCTCATGGTTACTCGCATGGCAGATGGCTTCAGCATAGGGCCAAGAAGGAGGACTCTTGTCCCCTCGTTTGGAGGACATCAGAGTGGTGATAAAGGAGCAGCCACAGCGAATAAGGGAAGGAGAGGCAAAGGACAGTTAATGATAAAATCATGATCTGTCAGAGCCATACTGGCGAGTGATTTTTGGTTCGCTTATCAGAATGGGAATTTGAACCAAAGTATCCTAACCTGAAAAAGGCTGGAGAACCCTAGTGGCCACTGTGATAACACTAGAGAAACTTAAGTTTGTGCCTTATTTATTTTTTTTAAGAACGACGTTGTTTGCTAGAATTGAGAAATACACAATGGCATAGCAGCTTCTTAAACATAAATTTGAATACATCAGCATGTGCAGCTAAATAATTTGCTGACTTCAAAACAGCCAGGTGAAACTTTTTGCCTCCTAAACCTATTATTGCCCATAATGAAAGAGTCTATATACACTAATCACTACATACAGCTTAAAGGTTGATCACAGCTTCTAAAACTTCATGACACAGGGATTTTTAGCTATACTCAACATATTTTCCGTTCAGAAATCTGATTGGTTGTTCTAGGTACCAAGAACCATATATATTGGGCTCCTAGTTGGGAGAAAGCTACAGGATCAAGCATCCCTGAGTTTCAGATAGAAACTTAGAAAACCTTCAAAGGTATGTGGATTTTATTTATAACTTGGTATACTTTTTATTGTGCTTATTTCTTTCTCTCTCTGCATTTCATGTTGAAAATATGCAAATATATTCCATATTTCCAATGTTTTATGCCACCAACAGTTATTTTTTCAGTTGGACTATAATTAAATTAGAGTTTGATTTCTTTAATGAATTGCATTACTGTTAATGCAGTAAAGTGTTTTGTGTTTTTTTTTAGAATTTTAGTTCAAGAATTGCAAAGCTTTCCTTGGATTCAGTTTTCATGGCAAAAGCACTTATTTTAATTACTTATCAATGAAGATAAAATAATGCTTGCACAGGCTTTTTTTCCATTAAGTTTATTGGTACATTTAAGATAAACATTACAGTTACATCCTTCATTGGGATCTTGTACCTTTACATGATGGATCTTGGTTCTCATTTCTTCCCCATTCCCCTGCCTTCCCTTCACCCCCTCCACCCTTCCCTATTTACAAAGACTTTGTTTCCAGTTTTTCCTTTTTTCGTATTTTTTTCTTTTCCCTTCTTTCCTTTCCCTCCCTTTCCCACTTCCCCTACCCCTTTAGGCCGTTTCTTCCTATTTCACCTTATCAATTATACTATTTGAACCTTATTTACACTTTTAGTTTTTGTGATCCACTTCTTTAAAAACATTTTAATTATATCAAATGGAACTATCAATAAACTGTATTTTCTCATTAACCTTTTAGCAAATAGATTTAGGAGGTAGAAAGTTTTAGTGTAATTTTTGTAGCTAGAATAATTAATGGACTTTTTACTTCTTATATAAAATTAAAGATCTTCTGATAGCTAAGTCAGTCAGTAATCTGTGTGACAAAACAATGTGTATTTTACAGTGGCCTCTTTTGCTTCACATTCTAAGGCCCTTAATTATAGAATAATTGCATGCATTGTCAAACAAAATAAATTGTTATTAACTGAAGATGGAATCTTTTAGGTAGAAATCATTGAAAATCCATTAAAGAATCCTAGAATACCAGCTCTGTCCACTTCCTTTGGTTCCACCTTATCTTTTGCTACAGGGTGGAAATATCTGGCACAAACCCCACTCCCTGCTTAATCTATTTTGTCCAATTACTTAGTATCTTTTCTCAAATAAGTCTTTGTCTTTAATAATGGTAATACTAGAGTGCACTGTACAAAATATATTTCTTTGTCTTCTTGTTTTAAAATTCTAAAATACTGTGCACTTTGATGATCTCCCAAACTTCTAGGGTCAACTCTGTTCTTTCAATCAATATAAATACCATTAGTTCTCCTGATGCTACTGTCTGTATAATAAAGACAATAACGTAATGATAATTCATTTTTGTTCCCACAACTTATTAAGCTCTCAACTGAATTTTGAAGCATCTTTATCATTATTCTAACTCTACAATTATATAGATTGAAAAATTGCAATCACATACAAATGAAGTCACCTCACAAAAATGTTCTATCCTTTTATTAGCAGCATACTAATATAGATTATGTATATTTTATGGCACATTAATTATGTGCATGCTTGAGAAGACATAAGAAAAGCAGTTGTTAATTTGCATTTCAGAACCACCAGAAATGGGGACCTGGATTTTGTTTGCCTGCCTCTTGGGAGCAGCCTTCGCTATGCCTGTGAGTAAAACACCCTTTGTGTAGAACTGTCTAATTTCATAAGATCGAAAATCAAAATCTATCCTATGGCTGGTAAACTTCAGGGTTTAAAACAGTACAAGTTCAGAAGTCCTCAAAAATCTGTGTTGAAGAAATCCTTAAAAAGTTTTTTTTTTAATGGATTCTTGACCGCCTCCAGCAAAGATTCTGATTCAGTACATCTGGGGTGGGACCCAGGACTCTGCATTTTAACAAATTTCCCCAGGAGATCCTACTGAAAGCAGTAGTTTGTAAATATAACTGCCCATCTCTAATTCATTCCTTCAAATATAATCCTTTGAAGGAACCCTTGAAAGCCAACCAGAGAAAGTACTCAATCAGCCTTAGGCAAATCCTACAAAAATCTCAAAAACTCAATTTCTTACAACTTCTCAAATCTCTTTGTGCCCTTCAAATACCACTGCAGTTACCCTGAAGTGGGTAAGATTTCTGTTAGGAATTCTCTTCTTGAACCATCTCTCCATTCTCAGAGGCACCATCCCTTTGGGTGCATCTGCTATGTGGGCGGTCTGGCTTTCATGTGGTTGCCCACAATCCTGCCTATGTCCAGAACACACTGACATACTTTATATTCAAATGTACCAAAGACCAAGAATTCTGACCCTGTAGATAGAGTTACATGAGGGCAGAGAGCTCAGGTCACATGCAGGCAATGCTCTTTGGTGGCATAAAGAGCAGTTGATACTACAAACCAGTAAGCTTGCATACCTTCCTCCTTTCTCCCTCTGTCACCCATAAGACCAAGATTCTGCTCTGTGCCTTCCTGAAATCCTGCATTGTGGTAATATCCCAGACGGCTCCCTGTCTTACAAATACAGCCCTTTTTCATGCCAGAATCCAACTTCCCCAATCTCAGAGGGCTTATGTCCTAACAGTTTTACACTCAGATGAGAGTGAATAAATCCTCTTATGAAATATGAGCATTTTAGCTGGGGATTTAGCTCAGTGGTTCCGCTGCCTGCCTCACAAATGCAAGGTCCTGTGTTCGATCCCTGGCACGAAAACAAAACAAAACAAAACCAACAAGCATTTTAAAAGAATAGAACAGAGTCAACTCTTAGTTAGCCCCACATCTGAGGGAGATGTCTTGCCATCTCATCTCATCTCTCCTGACCTCCAGGCCCAACCAGAATTCAACAAAGCAGGCATCAGTCACTTGGCCCCAACTTTTTAAGGGACACACAGTACTGCTTTCGATAATTATTCATGTTTCTTTTTGTTTTTCAATTTTTATAATTCTTCCATGAACACACTGACAGAATAATGAAAAGGATCGGTCTAAAATTCACAAATCAACTCTTTATTTGTCCAGGGGAGGAATTTAGAATGTTTCCATTTCACCTTACTCATCATGTTCTCAAATTCATCAACAGTTCCTACCTAGTTGCTCCTTTGGTTAGTGCAGATGTGTTATTTCACTTGCAAGTTAATTATGAGAAATGCCTTTGATACTTAAGGCACTTAACCAGCTGATCTATAAAGGGTCTTTTGTGAGAAAATTCTTCGCTTGTTGATATTTTTTAAAATTGTGCAGTAGAAACATACCTCTCTCCCTAATATGGAGTGAGTTTTGTCAGCAAGTAAACTGGTCAGTGGGATAGGAAATGATTCCTTGACAACATGGGGGGATGGGCTTGTCCCAAGAAGCACTGGAAAAATAAATGCATGCTGGTTTCTACTTCCAGGTCTTCTACCATGAGTGTATTACTCCAGGAGAGTTATTTAGCTGTTCGAGGATCCTTCAAAATAAGAAGGCCTCTCCTGGAGAGTATACCTATTTAAAAGTAGTCCTCAAATATATTCTGTACTGTATAGACTTTTAAAAATAGCTTTAGTTTCCTATAATGTGAACAATTGACTTAATCTCTTCTTCTCCCCCCTTTTTTTCCTCTCTTTTTCTCTTTCCCTCCCTGTTTCTATTTTTCCATACCCCTTCCTATAAAAGCTACCACCTCATCCTGGGCACCCTGGTTATATCAACTTCAGTTATGAGGTAATTTTTCTATTTACTAATTTTGATCATTGTCTGAATTAATAATGCCATGTGAAAGACTAGTGTGTTGATTCTTCATTCAAGATGTTTCTCAAGTAGTTCCACATTTTCAGTTCTACAAGCCCTGACAGATGGCAGACAAGCCTGCACTGTCCCAGCACCCTCCAACTTGACCACTCTGAGTCAGCCTCTTAAATATGTCTATAGATGTGTGCATCATGAACTATCACTCCACTGGGTCAAGGGGGCTCCACTGTAGGGCAGAAAGTGAACTCTGAACAGCCTCGTTTTATTCCACTCCATAAAGTGTGAGGATTAGGTAAGATGCTTTTAAAGATGTTTTCCAGCTCAAAAATGTGTGCTTCTCAGATGTTCACACTCTATGTGTGTCTCTCAGTGGTTTCACTGAAAGATCAGTGACTAAGTCTTATAGAAGAGACTCTCCAGAGTTAAGGAATGCATATGAGTTCCGGAAATTGGGCTTGAGGTTCCCCTCAAACCTATACTGCCTACAAGACCGTGGGCAAATCATTTCCTCCTCCTGGAAACTCAGAAATTCTAGAGCAGGAAAACAGTGATCAAAAGATTATTTGGTCAGTAAAATAGTAACTGAATATGAAAAGTGCTGTGGCACTGACCTATAACTTGAGCAAAGTAGATAATTTTTTAGTTAAATGTTGTACTAACATCAGAAGTGCAGCCAAAGGTTCAGCAAGTACATACTGTTCAGAAAGGGACGAAACTCTCACTTGTTTGGCTAACAGGTTATGAGTCTGTTCATTCATGCAGACTGAAGAAAAAAACGTTAGTAAGAATTTGGGGCAAGATTTTCTGTTAAATCTTAAAAATAGTTGACACATGTAACCAGTAAATCTTTGTCTCAGGGATGAGGGACAGTGTTTCTACCTCCTTTTTTCCCATTGTGATACCAAGTAAAAAATAATTTGATCAATATTATAACATATTATTATAATTTTTACTTGTTTGTTTTGCTTTTGCAGTGAAGAGCAGGGACTGTAAAATTAAACAGAATCACTACTTTTGCAACCTCAGTCAAGTTATGGAACCTCTTTAACTCTTCATGGACTTATCTATGAAAATGGGGGTGATGATACTTGCCTTAGCATATGGGAGAAAACATGAAAAGTGTATGTGATACATGTAACACAGTGCCTGACACCTAGGGAGCACACAACAAATATTTACCTTCTTCTTTCTTTTGTAGAAGTCACATTCTCAGGCTATCAATATTGACAGGACTGCATTAGTGAGTCTATATTTAATACTGCATTAGTGAGTTTACATGTTGGGCAAAACTCAATGAAATCAAATGCATTTCAATCTCTCTTTCTCTTAAGGTCCTTACCCCTCTGAAGTGGTACCAGAGCATGATAAGGCAGCCGGTATGTAAACATGTTGTTCCTTATCCCCTCAATATGTTAGACATACATTTAAATTCCCTTATTAAGTGAAATATGCATAGTCCCCATTCAGACACTAATGAGAATTTTAGTCTGTAAAATGTCATATATGCGTACACAGTTAGAAATTCCTGCAAAGGAAAAAATGACTAGAATATTCATATGCTCATAAAGACAAAGAAAACACTGCTACTTCTCCAATTGGAAGTCAAATGAGCCAATGGTAAACCTGACTCTCTGTTTCTCACCAGTATCCTTCCTATGGTTACGAACCCATGGGTGGATGGCTGCACCACCAAATCATCCCTGTGCTGTCTCAACAGCATCCCCAGAGTCACAACACCCTTCAGCCTCATCACCACCTCCCAGTGGGGCCAGCTCAGCAGCCTGTGGTCCCCCAGCAACCAATGATGCCAGTTCCTGGCCACCACTCCATGACTCCAAACCAACACCACCAGCCTAACCTCCCACCAACTGCCCAGCAGCCCTTCCAGCAACCCTTCCAGCCCCAACCTGTTCAGCCACAGCACCACCAGCCCATGCAGCCCATGCAGCCCATGCAGCCCATGCAGCCCCAGTCACCTCTGCACCCCATCCAGCCCCTGGCACCACAGCCAGCTCTGCCTCCACTGTTCCCCATGCAGCCCCTGTCCCCCATGCTTCCTGAAATTCCCATGGAAGCTTGGCCAGCATCAGACAAGACCAAGCGGGAAGAAGTGGTAAGTATACCTTGAAGCCACTAAAAGGCAAATCCTGGGGCAGTGGTACAGCAGAACTGGATCCATAGTTTTAAGTTCTCAAATAACTCAGGGCCTACAGTTGCATAACTACAGGCCCATGGTTTTACTAGGTCCATGCATGTACTGTAATTTTATGCTATAAATTCATTTAGCTACCTGGCTTGGTAATTAAGACCAGTTCTGATGTGTGTGGGTTCAAGTTTGACAATGATTGACTTCCCATATATTACAGAAACCCATTAACTTAGAGTAATAGTGAAAGGGAATATCAATTTTTATATTCCAAAGGTTGACTAGCCAGAGTAAACTAAGACTGCAGTGAGGATTTAAAAAGGAATACTTTTTCACAGTGAAAGGGTACAAATATTTGAAAAACTATAAAAAGCAAATAGGAAATCTCTTTACACACCTGAAGGAAGATTATCTGTTTAAACTGGTTTTCAAACTTGAAGGAAACTAAAATAGGGAGAGTATTAGATTCTTTCTCAGCACTGAGACCCAACAGATTGAGCCTTTAGTAAGAAGTTATTACAATTAAGTACTAAATCCTCTTTCATTATGGGAAGCTCTTCCAAGCAAATGGGAATAGTCAATAAAACGACTCTTCTCCACATCTACAAATCCGTATTTGAGGTCACGTGATTCCAGTTTATAAATGCTACTGATGATTTTGCTACTGAGAAGCAGAGACGAGTGAGCTGTTAATAACCTCAATGGGGAGCCAGGACACCTGGGTTCCATTTCTGGCTTTGCCCTCAAAAAGGAGGTAGGGTTGTAAAACTTATTTAAAATTTATGGGTGTCTTCACTTCTTTAAAACATGGGAAGTGAGTAAATCAGCTAAGTTTTCTTTTGCCCAACTACAGATGCTGTAGTTTTCTAGTCAGAAATTATAAAACATGTCAGATGGGGCTTCCACAATAGTGAGCAATTTCTAGAGAATATGAGGTAGAATATTTTAAAACTGACTGGGATGAAATAATGTGGTACTTATTGTTGATCATTCTAATATAAGGTACATGTTCTCTGTTTCCATAGAAAATAAATTTATTTACCTCTTTATTAATAATTAACATCATGGACTTTCTAATGCACACTTATCCTCCCAAAACCATTTATGCAAAGGTGACTTTGGACAAATAGTTTGAACTCCTTAAAACTCAATTTCCTCTTGTTTAAAATTAGAGTATAACTATTGATAGATTTTTTTTGAGTTATTTTATGGAAAATGAAATAAAGTGATGAGCTCAGAACCCGGAAGGCAGGAAGTACCTAATGAAAGTTAACAGTTGCTATTTTATTACCAAATAGTAGACCATATATCCTCAAGGTAGGAACCTAATATCTAATGACAGTGGCATAAGAAAGACACTTTAGAAATTATAGAGTTCAACTCAGTGGTTGTACATTGTTTTGACAAGACAGAAGACACACGTGTTATTGTAAACGATACTCACTAAGAATGTTTGTAAATTATTTTAATTGTTCCTTTTGCTATTTTTTTCAGGATTAAAAATCAGAAAATGAGAGAACTGAAGTAGATATTTCAGTTGCTTTTAGGAATGACACAAGAACACAATGCCTGCAATCATTTTATTTAGCAAGTTCTGTAACTAAAAATAAGTATTAATAGCAGACAATAAAATGTTTTAAAAATCATTCATGTCTTTGTGTTGAATTAAATTTAACTTTTTTTGTGGTACTGAGGATTGAACCCAGGGCCTTCGCACTGAGCTACATCCCCAGCCCTTTTTTATTTTTTGTTTTGAGACAGGGTCTCGCTAAGTTGCAAAATTGCCCAGGTTGGGATCAAACTTGCGATTCTCCTGCCTCAGCCTCCCACAGTGCTGGGATGACAGGTGTGTGCCACCACACCTGGCTTAAAGTTAAATTTTCATGTCACTCTAGAGAGCATATTATAAATCAATATGCTATAATAAATCATATTATAAATCAATAAAGTAGGAATTGTTTGTTTACACGTACAAATTGACCATTTGGCAGGCAAATAAGGACTGCATTTCTTTTTAGAGAAATGTTTTATTATCTCAAAACTTTTTCAAAAAAATGGAAGTTTATACATCAGTTATAATAGCTGATAAAGTGAAAAATGATGAACATGTACAGTCACTGATCCTGAACCAAATGAAGGAAAGTTTAGAAGAAAATTTCTCTGCATTGAGAAAGATAAACTTTAAAGCAATGTTTATATGATAAAATGAATTAGGACTTGGCCCATTAGCTGGATGCTTCACACCACATTAGTAATCAGAATTTGGTCTTTTGATCTCATTCTACAGAACAAATATTTTAAATGAAATTATGTGATATGTATATATACTGAATTTAAAATGATTGAAGTAATTAGTCTTCCTAAGAAAAAAATTTAATAATGGAGCTTCAAATAGAGAACAACAGTGATTTTATATACAAGTCATTTCTTTCACTTCATAATCTTTAAGATGATAAATTTTACTGCATAGTCTTAAAAATGTTAACAGATGCATAAAATGGACTCAAAAGAAGTTTTTTCCCCACTCATATTTATATCTGAATCCTTTTTTCCTCCTACACCCACACAAAATTGTAAACAGTCTTTGCAGGGTTTATGTTACACAGCACCCACAGTAACTTTATTCCAGTACCTTTATGATTAAGACCCCTTAATCATTTTCTGGAATGAATAAACATAATTTTACTGGGAGGGTGTCGATATTCAAACAAATAACTTGATTTTAAAGGATTTAGATTCAATCAAAAGGTAAGAAGGGGGCCGGGGGATTTAGCTCAGTGGTTCTGCTGCCTGCCTCGCAAGCACAAGGACCCGAGTTCGATCCCCGGTACCAAAAAAAAATGTAAGAAGGCTTTTAATCAATTGGCTTGGACCAATTTAGTCAACTGAATAAATATTTATCAAGTACTCTCTAGGACAAGGCATTAGCACATTTCACCACATACTGGTGAAAACACGAAGCCACCATCCTAAAGGAATCTAGAATCTACCAAAATGATCAAACAAGATCACAAAAGAAGGACCAGTTATGTTTATGTTATGGTAGAAGTACAGTCAAATTTCACTGGCAAATATGGCCAACATCATTAACGAGCTGCCTAACAGTTTTCCTCACCATTTCTCCCTTGTTGCCAGGGAAGGAATTAATCCCAGCATCTGGCCTTTCACCAGCTCAGGAGAGATGCACCTCCTTTCCTGCCTGAGGTGGTGAATAATCATTCTTCCAAGCCAATTAGGGAATCAATTACCAAAGCTTTGTGCCCTTGCCAGTGATTGGTTTAGGGAAGGGTTGTGGTGGACCCTGAACACTGAGTGAGGACAAAGTCAAGTCTCTTGGGAGAGGAAGACATTCTAGGGAAATGTGTGCCCTCCAATTAAAAAAAAATACATAGATCCATGCTAGGAAAATGTGTAGTTCCATCTTTGGATCTATTTATTTGAAGATGATGCCCACAGCTGTGCCCATCATCTTGTGACCAGGAAGGGAAAGTGGAATGATGAAAAGTCCCTAGATTTTTAATGACCTCATTGTACCCCTGCATTAACTAATCCTGGGACCAGCTACAGCTGTTCTGCTCTTTCAGTGAAGAGCAGGAATTGTGGAATTGAACAGAATTAGTACTTTTGTAGCCTCAGTCAAATCAGTGAACTCGAACTCTTTATGATCTTAGCTGTAAAAGTAAGTGTGCTGATATTTATTCAAAGCATGTGAAAAAACATAAAAAGTGTATATGACAAATGTAGTACAGTATCTGACACACAGGAAGGACCAACTAATATTTGCTTCTTTCTTTTGTAGAAGTCACATGTTCAGGCTATCAATATTGACAGGACTACATTAGTGAGTCTATATTTCGTACTGCATTAGTGAGTTTATATGTTGGATAAAACTTAATGAAATCAATTGCATTCTACTGTCTCTTTCTCTTAAGGTGCATACCCCTCTGAAGTGGTACCAGAACACACGGCAGCCGGTATGTAGATATTTTGTTCTTTATTTCCTTATGATAGATAATAGGCAAGTATTTCAGTTCCCTTATTAATTGAAATATTATGTCTACTCCACATGCAGTGAGGGCTGGTGTTGCTGAAATTCTGGTGGGGGTGGATCAGGTTCAAAGAGCAGGGAGGCCAGGGGCAAAACAAAATATCTATTATATAAACCTTTAAAAGTTGGAAGTCTACAGTAACTTTTCATATTGAAGTAGTTCTCTTTTGATTTCAGTAAAGTGCCTGAACTATTGCTGACGTAAAATTCCATGGTCTCTCCATTGGATATAGTATACATCTTTCTTGCCTATGATTAATTATATTGAGTCTGAATCATACTAAAGAGGTCAACTTTAACAAAGAACTCTAACCAGAAAATGCTCACAGTTCACTTATTAGAAAAGGCAAGGGAAAATAGGAGTTAACAAGCCAATTTCCAGGATGTATTTTCAGAACTGTCTATCTTAATAGCATATATTGAGGATGGAGATTCAAAAATTATCTGAAACTTTTACTTATCAAAGATATTAATAATCACAACATTTTCCAAGTCAAAAATTTAGATGTGGGCCAGGGATTTAGCTCAGTGGTGCTGCTGCCTGCCTTACAAGTACAAGGTCCTGAGTTTGATCCCTGGTACCCCCCCCAAAAAAAGTAAAATTTAGATATATAGGATGATAATGCAATGGAAAATTGCAAGCCAGAGATGAATATTAACTGCTAATTATCCTCCATACCTGTACTATCCAATCTTGTGGTCCCATGTGGCTATTTAAATATTAATGGATTAACATAAAAATTTAAAATTCAGTGTCTCAGTAACAGGTGACATACTTTAAGTGATAAACAGCCACAGTAGATAGGTGACTATCATATTGGACAGTATAGTTGCTGAACTTTTCCATTACCACTGAGTTTTATTAGTCAATTGTTCAATACGCTACTCTCTGAGATAGAAGAACAATTTCTATTAATTCAAACATTTTAAATAAAAGACAAAGCAAAACAGACTTTTCTGGCTAAAACTAATAATCTTACACATCCACAACAAGTTATTTCTTAGCATGTCAGTGATTCAGATCTTTCACAAACATTTTTTCTAAAAACAAGAGAAGTGTCATTCTTTTCCTCAGGCCAAACCACATACAGAAAATGTTTTCCCCTCTGGTCGTTGTTTAAAACAAATAAATCCAGATTTCAAATACATGAATTTTCCTGATTATATTTGAACTGCTTTACTACCAAAGAATGTTTTTTTTTTATTTCAGACTGTAAACCAGCAATATCCACACTGAAAGTAAAAGGCGAAGTCTGCCCTTGACCTAGAAATTCAATGGAAAGTGATTATAGTTTAAGCTGAATAAAAGATAAAAATAAGAAAAATTGTGTCTGTCTTTAAGATTTACTGCTGGTGAACTTCAGAAAATATTTAATTATCACTTTATTTTGCTTTTCAAACAGTATAGCATGAAACATGGGGAAACACAGTGGATTTATTCATAGTAAAAAGATATATGTGCAGACACATACCATTTGAGCGATTTGAAATTTAAATAAAGCTTCACTCCTCTCCAACCTTTCAAAAATATACACATGGTATGAATTATTGCTACCTAGATACATCACACTTCTTCATATAAAAAATTCTATCATGGAGAAAGGTCAAGTTGCTTCTTTCATCTGCAACTAATGTCAAGTTTACTTCTCTTTTCTTCCTAATGCCACACAAAATGAAAATCTAGACTTTCCCTCCAAATCTGAAGTTATACCCTTGGAAGTAAACAGGAAATACAGACTGAGTTTAAATCCAACACATAGAAAATAATATAAGATATTAGATAACTCTGTTGATTTAAAAAATAATGTGAGATTCCACTGTGTATAGCTTAACACAAGGAATCAAAAGAGAAAATCAGTATCGAGCAATTTTCTACATTTCTGGGACATAGCAAGATCTAGTAGTATTTCACATTGCCTTAAGTAAATACTCATCAATCTATGCTTTTTATGAAATTCTTATTAATTAGAGTTTTCACTTATTTTTGTGATTTGGCTCCTAATTCCTTTTCTCCTCACTTGTTTTGGAGGCTTATCAGTAGGTGGTCACTGGCTGACATTTAGATATGAAAAGAAAATACATGCCTGCTGTGAAAAGTCCATGCTAGCTTCTTGTGAAACACCTGACTCTTCCAGAGGATAAATAATACTTGAGGAAGAAGCCTGGGGTAGGAGTCGTAAGGGGTGAAGAAGCTGAAGAGAGAAGAGTAGTCATTTGTGTTCCACAACAATTACCTCAATAAATCACACCTGACTGCTCTATCAATAACTTAAATCAATACCCCCCCTTATAAATATTACTGTCCCACGGTTGACAAAAAAACCCAAGACTGGTGTTTATTTTCTTATTATTAAATTTTTTCTAATACCATTAAATTATGTCACTTCCTCAAAAGATCCAAATCTTATTCTCCTCCCCCAAGCATTTTCTGTGCTTCATTATTTAGCTGCGGGATGAGGGGACTCTGGGACCAGTTTAGTGGCCACCCAAGTGAAAAGATGGTTTCCAGTGTCGTG